CATTTGATAAAACTGTAAATTGATCATATTGATACGAGCACTGTCCACGTGACTTCACTGTAGTCTTCAATGTTATTACATCAGAAATGGATTGATTTGAGCCTGAGATCTTGAGTGCTCAGCAGCATGGGCTATAGCTAACCTAATATAATTTAAGGGAATTAGCTACTGACTAGCAGGAATGTCTGGTCATCAGGTCAAGGCTTTTGTCTTCGCGGTGAAAATCAAAGTATTGTCTTTCACGTTTCAAGTGGCCTCTCCAATTATCCAGCTGCCTGTGCTTCATAAGTGATAATAACTATGAGCACCTGTTCTGTGTGAGGATATATGTGCCCCCTTAGACCTAAACACAACATTTGGTCCTTTGAATGTGACCTACACTTTTTGAATGCGCTGGAAACGGCAGCAAGTCCGAAGTAGCTCACAAACAGTTGTTGTTTTGTGTTTTACAATTGTTCTTTTTCTTGCTTTTTTCTACCTGGGATGTTGCTGCAGTTCAGTGTTCATGGTTTTACACTGGTTCAGACCGGAGCAGAGAAGATTCATGGTCCGAACCAAGTGGATCACTAAATAATCCACTGGAGGAATGCTAACTTTTTGAAAAATTCTAATGAAGCATTCAGCATTTTACTTTGGACTAGAGCAGAGAAAATGGTCTGAACCAAGCGGCTTCTCCACCTGGCACCTTGTGACCCGTCCTGCTCCACCCAGAGGCTACTCCACCTTTGCTGCTGTGACCTGAAGGACTTTTGCTTATTATTAATATTGTAAGCTTTTTAGTATGATACATTTTTATTTTTTCTGCTACTGGTCACCTGAATTTCTCCTACGGGGATCAATAAAGTATCTATCTATCTATACGTGCAGTGACATGCTGTCCAATGAATTTGCAAAGATTGTTTGTCTCACTCCAAAGCAATGATAGATCTGTTTGTTTTCTCACAGGGAAGGTTGAATGTTTACAGCAGAGCATAATATTATATTTCAACTATAGTTCGTGAAGTGACTTGGCTTGGAACATCTGGAAAAAACATATGGAAAAAGTTGGAGTACTAACAGCAAAAGTTGGTGGTGAATAACTATTCTTTTGTTTTTTATTTTAATAGCAAAATGTTTCTGAAGTAACCATAGAGGAACTTGACACAAATGACAAGAGACCTTTTTTGCTTATTTTGGTGAAATTGTTCAAGTGAATAAGGTGTACGTGGTGTAGGGCCCTCCCCCGCTGCTCATTGTAGGTCATTTGGTCAGTTGCACTTCTCTTGTTTGTACTTAAACACACTTTTGGGATGTTGTGCTTACACTTGACTCTCCCCAAATATGGACTGTGTATACAGCGGTGGGACCTTGTATGTACTGTCCACATGTACTGTAAATTACCAAGGGAAAACAATATCCCAATTCTCTTGGTTAGAGAGACTTGGTTAGTGTAGCAACTGTTTAAATGTTAAGCCTATGTAAACATACACTGGGTTGCACAAATAATACAACTTGAACACATCTAGTAATGTTTAGGACCACCAACAAAAAGGTAAACAAAAAGATTTCGGAAGACCAACCAAAGTAACAGACAACTTCGAAGGGAGAGCAAAATTATACCAGATTTTTCTTTTTGTATTTGTATAAAATAGCAAGTAGACAGGTGTAGAGGTTTCTCTGTTCAATGTTGTTCTGTGATGGCCTCAGAAGTATGTTTAGAGCAGTGTTCCCCAACCTTTTTGAGCCGTGGTACAACTTTCCCATTTAAAACAATGACATGGCACACACAACAGCTGAGACTGATGCAAACTGATGTAACTCTGCAGCCTTTATCAACAAAACTAATTCTCATCAAAGTGTGTTGTATAGATAATCAGAGAAGATATTTCTTATCTTTCTAATTATTTTTTTTCACATTATTTTGACCAAGTAGTTGATATTGAATCATTTCCCAAGGCACACCAAATAACATTTCAAGGCACACTAACGTACCACGGCACACTGGTCCGAGGAACACTCAAGAGAGACGGGTGAAGTTTCTTTGAACATCTCACGGAGCACTGTTCAATCCATTGTTTGGAAACGGAATAAGTACAAAACCACTGCAAACTTACCAAAACACTGCTCAGTCTGCAGCCCCCGCGACCCGGCAACAGATAAAGTGGGAGATTACAAATGGATGGATAGATGAATCCTGTATCATTTTGCTCTCAGTTCACAGTTATCTGCCTCTTTAGTTTATGTTCTAGTGCAAAAGTATTTTAGTAATGTTTTTTCTTTGATTGCCTTAACCCTGTGCCGTAGTTAACCCGCAATAACCATCACCACCCACTAAACAAACATTCCCAATAATTCTGTGTGTTTAAGAGTGTGGATCAACAGGTAGAATTAGGTAATGCTGTTTTTCTAAATAAGCTGAAGCCGAGCCCAAAAGCAGATCTTTGGTGGTGTTTTTAAGACGAGCTGGAACAGATTGTTCTTGTATCGACTTGAGTAATGCAGGGCTGGATTGGTGTTTGTCTGCAGCTCAGGAGCTCACACAAGGGAAGGAGACAGGCGAGTAGGTTGGCAAGTGGACAGACATTATAAGAAAGAACAGTGTATACGAGAAAAACAGAGGGGCAAAGGAATTATGATGCTTCTGCTGCTGTCAAAATGTTGATACAGCAATATTCACCATATTCATCTTATCTGTGGCTCTATTTCTGGTTATAGATGTTAGCATAGCTCTACCACCTTCACTGTGAGTTCTAGACTGACTATATAACTGTTTTGAGGGCATCCAGTACTTATTTGACAAGTTGATTTATGTAAATAACATAAACTATTCACACAAAACAGCATACTTTAGAAACTTCTATTCCAATAAAAGTATTAAGTGGCTGGGGTGGAATAAGGCGACTTATTGGCAATACATATCATCACCCACCTTTTAAAATGGCAAACAGAAAGAGAGTGATGTGATTAATAATACATTATTTCATGTTTAGTTTATAGTTATCTCATGTCACTATATTTTTTTCTTAGAGACTTCTTGGGTAAGAGATGGATATTTGGGTCACCGTTGTAAAACATAGTCACTGAGAAAAAAGGTTGTGAAACGGTAACTGCATGGTTAGCGCCCTAGCTTCTCAGCAAGAAGGTCCTGGTCGGAACAGGGCCTGTCTGTGTGGAGTTTGCATGTTCTCCCCGTGTCTACATAGGTTTCCCTTCCACTAAAAACATGCACAATAGTTATGAATGTAATGAGTGAGTGATGTGCCAGTGTGTTCGGTGTCTCCGTTCTGTCATCATTGTAAAGCACTTTGGGTGATTTTGGTCTGTGAAAACTTACTTCTATATTCCAACACCATGTGATTTTAGTATGTTACAAAAGTATGGTTGAACTACACATCAGAATGTAGTTTATGCCACAGTATGTAGCCATTGTTTAAGCCACTACTAAGGAACCAGGAGGAGACTCGTTCAGGACATTGCCCATGGTAAGGATGCATGCCTTTTATTCAATGGAAACAATAAAACATCTCTTTTGTCAGTCTATTCTTTTCTCACGAGTTCCAAAATGGTTTTTCATTCTGAAGTCAAAGTAAATGCTTATGCTTCCTGGTCATTCTCCTCTATTAGATAGTGACAAAAGATAGAGGAAGTAGGAAGTGAGGGTTGAATGTCATGCAATATAATCACCATGCTTAGAGTGTGCACACAGTGTAGAGTAAGGTAGAGTAACAGTGTAGAGTAAGGTAGAGTAACAGTGTAGAGTAAGGTAGAGCTTCATTTCAAATCTATTTATGAATCACCTTTTCTCTATAGTTCTTATGCATTGACAATAATTGTGTGTTATAAAAATGGTTGATTTTTGACATGTATTTCACTTTTGATTCCCATCTGGGGAAATTAGCCTTCATGACACTATGTAAGACATTTTCTGAGAATTTCTGTCTATAATCTATGAAGAGTAAAGTTGACATTGACTTTTTGATGTGCATTTATAATCCTTTAGTTGGAATGTGTCCAATAATAGGCTATTTGCTTTGGCTCTAATCCCAGTTTTAAGGGACTTACCTATTTCAATATTCTGAACTGAGACACCACATTGACTGGATCCCTCTCGTTTAGCCTTATGCCTTTTTTCTTGCTGTTTTTTTTTTTTACATATATCTTGGAGCACGTGCATGTCCATATAGGCCATGGTCCCGCTGCAGACCGTGCGTAAAAGTGTTGTGCGTCATGTTCTTCTGATTCCCGTTTTGATGCAAATGCCCCTGTCCCCGTGCTCTTTCTCAGCCACAGCAGCAGCACGTTGCCCTGAAGAACGGCCGGTGTTGTACCCGCCCCTGCTCCTTTAAGGCAATGAGAAATAAAGGCGCGCGCAGGAGCAGGGACGAGGGCTACTGCGCGCGGCTCAGAGCAGGTCTTCAGCTTTAGAACGCGGCGGAGGAGGGAAGATGCGCTTGCTCGCCTCTTGCTGGACGCACGGAGGCAGCAACGAAGATGATCTGACTTTGGAGTTTGATAAACAAAAGCTGTTTTCCACTCCTATCCCTGCGCCTTATCATTTTTCTTTGCGTCCTTCCATTTAAGTTTTCTTTTTTAATTAAGGATGACCCAGCTGAGAGCCTGGTCTTTTTCTAACCGGGGTTGGTGACACTCGGAAAGCTTTGGTTTGGCACATTTTCTTCCCGAGCCGCTCGCCTCGCCAGCTCTGACTCAGCAGCCCCGCACACACCTGGGCATCACCCCTTCATTTCAGCATCCCCTCTGAGCAGCAGGGACAAGTCGTACCGAGGAGACTCAACACATTCTTCTCCTGGACAATCACAGGACCGTTTATGACGCGAGCGCACTGAGAGGACATAACAACCCCGCGTAAAAAGTAGTGAGGAGATATTCAAAGTACCGGTTTGCTTCAAGACTGGCAAATGTTTATCCCCAGCCCAAGCGCCCATACGAGGAACCCAGGGAGGCAGCGGTCGGAGGAAGACGAGAAAGCATAGCTTGGGGGGGATTGAACGGAGCAGGGCATGTGGATATTTGCTTTTCTCTTTTTCCAGAGCATCTTGAATGGTAGGTTTCCTAATCAGTTTGCTCATTTGCTTAACGAGGTAGAGAAATAGAAGCGGGCTGCGGGGTGAGTGCAGAGGGAGGATGGAGGTCACCTGTGACCCATATGAAATGGATTTGATCCGCTTGTCTAAAGGCTGACACCCTTGATAGAAGCGGGGACACGGGCGAGGCGAGCGCGTTTGAACCAATCCACAGCCATTGGACACAGCTCAGGCCTTTACGCATCCACCCACAGACGCTCATCAATCACCTTTTCCATCTCATTCACAAGTCAAAACTCACTAATTGGTATTTCACTTTAAATTGCGCTTGTTAGCGTTGTTTCTGTTTAGTTTCCTTACAATTATGACTCTAAACAGAGCTAATTCTGCCACCGTGTTCCACCGTGGCCCCTAGTAATAAGTGACGTATTTGATATAATGGACATTGGGCTTAACCCCTTCCCCCTCCCCCGCTCTCTGTTAATTTCAAGTTCAAAGTGGACTCAGTTCCTTTATCAAGACAAACACAAATAAATCTCTGCAAGAGCCACTGGCATGCTATTGTTCATTTTTTACATAATTTGACAAGAAAAAGGGGCAGCCTAAACAACAAGAAAACTGGGATCTATGAATGTGCTTTAAAAAACAAAAAAAACATTTCATTAAGAGAAAGGGGGCGAGATTATTATGACAATGATGTTTTTTCAGATCGATTACCCCAAAACACTGTGGTATGTATTATGCAAGGTAATATTGTATTGAAATAATTAATAATGAAATTGAAATTATAAAGATATTGCAAGTACAGCTATTCAAATCCTCTAAATCAAGCAGCATGGTAAGGTTCTTAAGTAACATGTAGCCTATGTATTTTTGAAAGACAGTGCAGACATGGGACTGCCAGTGTCCTTGTGTGCATATTGCAAAGCAGAATTAGTTACTTGTGCACTTCCAATCAATAGAAGAAAATTGATACCGTTTATTGCATTGACTTATTGGCCAGATCCCCTTCTACAGGGAGGGATTATGGCCGACTGGGTGTGTATGAAAACAGGGAGAAGAAGCAGAGGTGGAGATGGGGGCGAAGGCAGAAAAATTAGTCTCTAAATATGGCGTCTTTTCAACGTGTTTTTTGACTGGAACGCAGACTATGAAATATTGTGTTTATAGAGAAATTAGCAAGAACAATATTTTCGAGGTGGACACGGACACACATTTTACTTGCAATGTGATACCGAGTGCCACCCAAAAATTGATTTTCCCTTCTGGTCAGGATGATAAAATAAGACTGCGGAATGGATTTCGGTTCATATGTGTGTGTCGTGTGTGTTTTGTATAGAGAGACCCTTCGTCGCTGGTGTTTATTGACATGGGCGCCATATAAAAGTGGTATCTCGCTCAGCCCAGCTTGTGCCTGCACATGGAACAATAAGGATTCATCATTCTTCATAATCATATGAGTCTGACATTATATCAACTGCCACGCAAGATTGTGCTCATTTATTGCAAAGGGGATTATTGAATCGGCCTGTGGCAAACAAGTGATAGGGATTAGGAAATGTGGAGTGCAGACACCACAGCTTCTGGTTTGTCATCCGCAAAGCAATGATTTGTTTTTGCGTTGTAGCCAATAGATATGTGGTTTTTTTTGCGTTACTGATTTTCTTATCCTTATATCTGTGCTCAACAACTTTGTCCCCGGAGCTTTTGTTGATTTCAATGAAAATAAGGCGTTGTCAGAAAGAATGAATGACCTTGTAGATGGAAGCCAGCGCTGCGATTGGATTCCAGACAATTCGAGCTGTTTCAGACTTAGGCCTATCACAAGCTCACTGGGCTGTCTCTATGGTAACCTCCTTAATGGCTGTCAGCGGTAGTTTCCGAAACCGCTGGCCGTTCGCTATAGGGTCTTGTAAAATGGGGCTTTTCGGATTCTGTTGACAGAATCCTACCTGCAACTCTATTAATGGGGTAAATCCTGATGCATCATGGTTGTTGTAGTCCTTGGCCGCGTGTTTGTTGCTGTATCATACTGTATAGGTGGCGATCGACGCAATTGCAAGCCACTAAACCCTGTCTTAACCTTTTACATTATTCTCTCATTTTGAGCTGTTTTGATTTCAGTTATTCAAAGGAATACTTAAGCTAACGTAACGACTGTCTTCATTCATTTGAGGTTCCTTTTTACCAGTCTTTGATGACATTGATCACAAACCACAATATCCAAAATATGATACATTTGTGACTCATGAAGAACTCCATTGTTTTGCTACATCAGCGTTGCATCTGTAGCTCACTATGAGGGGTCAGTGATGTACTTTGGTCCTTGATTAGTATTTCGTTCAAGTTAAGAAATGTCAGGTTGAAATTACAGAGCTATTTGAAATTTGCCGTAGCAGAGTTAAATCATTCCAGTCGTCAGTACTGGAGGAAAGACATATATATATTATCTCTCCTTGAAGGCTGCCTCTAGGCAAAACCACAGCGGCCTATTCAAATTCTCATCGCAAAGATATAACAAGACAGGGTTCCTCGCACTGTTCCATGAAGACCGCAATGATTTGCCGACAGCTTAGTACAATGGGTGTGTGTGAGACTTCAAAATACATCCTCGGTGTGTGTGTGTCTGTTATAGAGCATTAAACTTGGAACAAAAAAGAAAACCAATAAGTTTGATAATAGTCCGAATGGAAAGTTGCAGATGACTCAAGGGTTAAGCATGTATCTTAAAAATGCAGATCTAGGAATTGCAAGAAATGTATAATACAATAGAGTCGGGACCATAACAAGGCTCTCTTCATTATGTATACACGTAGATATAAGAATACACAATATCCTGAATTATATTTGCTGAATTTGTCATTTCAATCTGAGCCCACATCCCCACACTTATTCACTTTTGGTTCACCATCTTTGAAGCAAACTGCATTTTGATCCTGAAGAACACTTTTGATCCACAACTGAATCCAATTAGTAGTTATTCAACGTATATTACATCACCATTAAAATCAGGCATTAGGTGATTACAGTATAAAGCCATTTTAAAGGTGCTCTACTTATACGGGCAGTATGTAATTTTTCAGTTTTAATAACATCTACATCTTTTATGTAAAAATCATATCTGGCCTTTTCTGAACAAAAGTCTAATCTTGAGATATTAGTAATTCAAAATACAATGAGCATGATGTCGGCAATATTTATGTTTTGGATTTTTCACTCAGAGAACAGAATGAGTCTCGGCTCTTTTTCTTTTTCAATACGAATTTCACAAACAAAAAAACAGCACCACACATCTGCAAATGAAAGCAGATAGAAAAATAAGTAGTCATATGTAGTGCACAGAGTTTGTACTGTCTCTAACTAAACTCCAGCAGGTGGTCTGCATCAGTAATGAGTGCTTAAGGAGCTACATGTGACACAGACAGGAAGATTCTGGCAACAAATGTGTGATTGTAATTTATTAGACCGTGAAGAGCGCATACTGTCAGTTTAACATTGTTTACTTGCTATTTATTTTCTGTTGACTGGCAGCAGAGTTGACCAGTCCCCTGCTCTTCCCCATTCAGTGAAATCTTTCTGGGCTAACTCCAACTCCAATCAGGTTTTGAGCACATCTCAACACACCACGTGCAAGTCAATTTCCTAACACAAAAAAGGGGACTATGATCAAGCGATAGATCATCTCGCGCGGCCTGGCCCTGTTATGAATATCTAATGGGCCGAATTAAGTTTACATGCCCACTTAACACTTAGCAAGTAGTGTGGGCTTGCTTGTGATTCCAGTTGAAAGGGCAGCTAATGTCGGCTAATGGATACCCCGATGTGTGATCATAATAGATATTCCCTTGCTCATACATCCGAGTAGTTCTAATGAGGGCTACTCCACTGTACCGTACCTCCTCAAGCTTGTCTCGCTCTCTAATTAGGAGGAAGCTTTGGTGACGGCCGGGTGTGCACGAGGCAACGCGCACGTGCACCAATGTAAAATCTAATTACCGATCGCGCTGTGTCTGTCTGGATTATACGGAATCAGAGGTGTAATTGTGCAAGCCCACGTGTAAATGTCTCTTGCATTAAAATGTTAACGATATCATTTAACATCTGCGGGGAAGAGCGGGAAAGCCCGAGGCGCGCAGATGTAGTCGTTTGATCATGCGTGCAAAGTGAGCTTGTACTAGTACATCTGGCGGGGGTTCCCTCTCGTACCGGATGTTTTTAATTCACTCAGCACCTGTCAAAGTGGCATGTTGGATTATTGTGGCACACTGGAGCGGGTATTTCAAATGCACGCAGGTTGAACAATATATGAAAGCCTTGTGTTGTCAAAAGATCTATCTATTTCAGTGACTAAATGTTTTTATTCTATTAAATGCTGAGTTTGAAAATACATTCAGTGTTTGGCAGATATTTGTGACATGATTGTGATTGGCCTGTTTTAAATTGGAATTCTTATATTCACTTAAAAATAGATAAATGCAACATAACCTTGTATGACCACAAGGAACTCCGTACGTTTGGTGTCATGCTGTTGTTTTACCAAGTAGTGTTCAAGTTTTTAGTATGGCACCGTGGCAAGAGCTCTGCTGTGTGCCGTCTGGTGCACACTGGGGCAGTCTTGCACAGTTTTTCCGGTTTTACTGCAAATGGCAAATAAATTCTTGTATCATGTATTGATGAGAATTTCTGTACCATGGCATTTAAAAAATATTGTGATGTACATACTGTACATCACAGTATTGATGTACATATTCAATCAGGATAGTCCAACAGAGATTCAGATTTGCTTTCTCAAAAGAGTCCTGGACCCCGAGGGAAGAGTGCACAGTTTGTGGTATGGGAAAGCAGAGGGGCACAGACACAGGGAGAACATGCAAACTCCACACAGTATCTCCCATGCTCTTGTGTCTGGTTCAATCAATTAATTTTCTGTCAAATGAGACTGTATTTCCACTATGTTTACTCCAAAATGAACTAACTTTCTAAATATTATTATCTACTTATGTAGTTATGATTGTTTGA